ATCTAGCACCTTAACAAAGAACTTGCTAGACAGGTTAAATAGGTTTGCAGCAAATTTGAAGCAAGCTGCAGAGAGTGATGCTCGGATTGAGAGATCTGTGAGAGAACATTCAGCACTCATGTCTATTCTTCATCGTCGTCCGGTGAGTTTTTCGAGATAGTTATATGAATTTTATTTACCTTGTTCTATATTCAAAATTTGAAGCTACATAATACACCACCTTCATCATCATACACATCTACTGAATTGCCTCCTAACCTATCTGGGTTCAATCCCATCCATGTAACAAATTTTCTTCCACGCTCTCTAACACTTTGAGGACTCCCAATCCACACACCATATTCCCAATTATTAATGCTTGGACAATCAGAACCTAACTCCAATGCTGGTGCAATGTGGTCCGACTGTCCGAGGCATCGAAAAATTGAGATTCCTCTTCTTCGTCTCTAAAGCTACACATGATTCCTTGAATTCAACCCATGAACAAACTGGTTCAAATCCGCAGAGATATCTAGCAGTGAGAGTGAAGTGTGTTTATCCAAGAGCTAACCCAGAAATAAGTTGAGCAAAAGTTCAACTACAAAAAATATATGCAAGAGAGACAGCAGAGATTGACATTTCGCCATTAAACAACACATAACTAAGCAAATACCCATTTATTTGAAGAAAGTTCAGACGGAGTTCAAGTACAGGGAGATGAACGAAAATCCAAAAATAACAACTAGATCCACACACCATGATGAAATTGCTGATTAGAAACCAAAAAAAAATAACCCTAAAAACTACGAAACCTACCTGTCTATACGGCGGACGAAGCGACGTAAGGTTTCAGATCAGAGACGACTGCAGACAATGGCCGTCGCTTGGGTTAAACTGGAAAACGGCAGCAATCGGTGCTGCCTGAGAGGACGAATCAGACTTGATCTGCCGGTGTCGAGAGAAGGTTTGGGGAAATTGCTGTGGGTTTAATTTTGGGGGAGTTCAATTTTCACGGTTTTGGTGGAAAATATTTTACCAAGTTTGAGATGGGAATTCTAATTCAACGAAAAGGGGGAAAATAGGTCACGTGAGCTAGAAATGGGAAATGATTTTCCAGGTCAAATATCACCCATCAAACAGGCTTAAAAGAGGGAAAATGGAATTTATTTTCCACTTTACTTGGAAAAGATGCCCAATCAAACAGGGCCTTACTGTGTCTTTGGACCTGCATATACATTCTGGGTATGGGTTTTGACAAAAAGATTCCTCCAGCCTGAATCGTGCTCGACACTTGATCCCTGGTGGGGCACCTCCTCTTTTTTACGGCGCACCTTGCCTGAAAATAGCTATGAGTGAGAAAAACTGCAGTCTGATATAAATCCTTGACTAGCAAGCTGACTTGATGTGTGTCAATATTCAATAATACTCTAGAATTATAGAGACTAGGTCGTATCCAGTGGTCGGTTCCCTTGGGTCTGGGAGGAATGCAACAATAATTTCGTGTAGTATGCAAAATTGTATTATAGAGAACACCTCCACCGAGTCCATAACAATGCTTTGCAGTAGAGCAGTGCACACATCTATGAGCATATTTAGCCTAGCCTAAAATTTTAGAAATAAGTTGTAGTAAATTTTTCTGTCTGTCTAAGTTGAAAATAAGGAACTTACTTTACAATAAGATAAGAACTAATTTCAAAATAAGTAACATTTTTTTTTACTTAGAAGTAGAAAAAAGTAGCATATTGAAACATATTTGAAAACAAAAAGTTAAGTAACAGTATGTTAGATTAAGCTTTAAAAAGTTCGAAGCAGTTTTAACTTCTTTTTAAGCTAAGTCAAACATGCTTTGACTGACGGTCCCTTGGTTTCATTTCCCTTTTCTCCTATTTTTAAACATTATTTTGAGAAGATGATGTTCAAGCTCACAGATATTTTCACAGAAAATAAACAGATACCCAACAAAACATACATATATAAACTAGTAGAAAATCAAAATGAGTAGGGTCTTGGCCCAAAATATTTGAATAAAATAAATAGAAATTCAAGAGTTCAACAGCCACATTCAACACACATGAGACTTGCAGTTAAGCATCCTAGAGAAGTGGATAGGCGTAGGTAAGGGCATTCATGCAAATATATCACCTGTTTTTATGCAATTTCTTAATAAGATAAGATAGAACTTTCTTCAAGCTCTCCAGCTTCTAATCTGTAAAATAATTCCACTAGATCTTTCCTGCACATAATGTTTTGATATTAACCGAATGAAACAAAAGAGAAAATTCGAAGTGCTTATTGTGCAATAAA